CTCTTCCAGTGAATGCTGCTACCTCTTGGAGGTAAGGAGCTTGACTTCATTCATTAATCATAGATGATTAGGGTTGGAAGAGACCTCAGGAGGTCATCTAGTCCAACCCCCTGCTCAAAGCAGGACCAACACCCACAAAATCATCCCAGACAGGGCTTTGTCAAGCCAGGCCTTAAAAACCTCTAAGGATGGAGATTCCACCACCTCCCTAGGTAACCCATTCCAGTGCTTCACCACCCTCCTAGTGAAATAGTGTTTCCTAATATCCAACCTAGACCTCCCCCACTGTAACTTGAGACCATTGCTCCTTGTTCTGTCATCTTCCACCACTGAGAACAGCCTAGCTCCATCCTCTTTAGAACCTCCCTTCATGTAGTTGAAGGCTGCTATCAAATCCTGCATCACTCTTCTCTTCTGCAAACTAAATAAGCCCAGTTCCCCCTCTCTCTCTTTTTTTTTTTTAAAGTAACTTTGTGTCTTTAATTTGGGTGGACTTTTCTGGTCCTTGTTTTGTAGCAATTCTAATGGTTTCACTCTTTCATCCAGAGATAGGAGTAGGTCTGGGCACTAGGTCCCTGAGGAAGGACATCCCTCTCAGCCCCCTTAAGCCAGCCCAGAGAGTTCCTTCATCTCCTCCTCTCCTGCCTAATGCACTTGGGCTGCCAGGGGTTGTATCCCTCATTGGGTGCAGTGGGGCAGTAAGTGGATGCTGGGGCAGCATGTTGAGATAAATGCATTTTCTTGGGGATATGGTGGATGGGTACATCGCTATGTAATCCCTTTTCTTTGTTCTGGTTTTAGGATATCAGATGCTGCTGAGGCAATCTTGTGACAGCTCTGGCATCCCAACATAGTAAGTATATTGTGGGGTAGCTGCTACCAAATCTTTGATTTTTTTTTCCCTTTTGTGTTTCCAGCTTAATATTTTTTTCAGAATGCATGTGTTGTATTTTTTTATATGCTTGTGACGGGACCCCCAGGGTGCAGCCTGGGACTGTGGGACCGCTGTACCCCCTTAACTCTCTCCAGCCTGGGCTGTCTCTCACAATGCCTTACTAGTGACCAGCAGCACACCCCTCCAGGTGCTGTTATCACTCAGCACAAAACCATGTGGAACCCCACACCCAGCTAGATTGCATGAATGCTCCCAGAGCCACTCATGAATCACACAGAGAAAGGCACCAGAGCCAAATCCCTCCAGCTCCCATCACTGTACCTCAGGAATATGCCCTCTTGCACTGCTCAAGACGAGCTGTGCAAATTAATTAATTGGTTTACCGCTTCATCAATGGAAATACACCAGTCTTGCAAACCCGAGCAGTTTTGCCACACACTTCATGCAAACTCACTGGTGAAGATAAACAGTAAAACAAATGTATTGACTACAAAAGATAGATTTTAAGTGATTATAAATGACAGGCAAAAAGTCAGAATTAGTTACCAAAATAAAATAAAATAAAAGCACACAGTCTAAATTCTCAACCCAATTAGACTGGGCAACATCTAGATTAAGCAGTTTTTCTCACCCCACTGGATATTACAGTCCTTAGTATACAGGTTTTGTCCATCGTGGAGGTGGGTTTTTTAGAGCGCTGGGAGAACTCTCTCCTAGTGCTGTGCCACATGCCCACACAAGCCACTTTAACGTTGCCAGTGTAGACAAGCCCTTTGTTGCTGGCAGCATAGGTGGGGCAGGAGAAAGGCCAAGCATGGGGCCCCTGTGTTCTGTTTTATAAACTCAGTCCCATGTGCTGGGGGAACACAAGTCCAGGCATGTCTGGGGGGGGCATTGCTGAGTCTCCCTGCAAGTTTGAGCAATTCCCCTGGTGTGGTCTCATGCAGGTGAGTCATTGAATTGTAGCTCCCTTGCTGGACAATGGCTGTCCATGGGTTGTTTGACACCCCGCCTGGGCATTGGTTACTTTCCTTGCTATTGCCTCTGGGGAGCTAACATCTGGCTGACTCCCCAGCTTACAGCATGTTTTAGTGACAATCGTACAACATAATTCTCATAACTGCATATGCATTAATGATATACATATATGGATAGAGAAATGACTTTCAGCAGACCATAACCTTTCCCCTGATACCTCACAAGGCAAGCTTTATATGTCAGATCACAATTATATAAAAATGAGGAATATGGGGGTTACATAGAATGTCACAATGTTAATAAAGTATTTTTTCATTGTGTTTTTGTGTCCTCCTTTACTACACTGACGTTTGTTCTTGAGGATGGGAGGGGCAAAGCTGTGACCAGTTGAGCATCACTTCAGATGCTCACAGGCCCACGTGCAGCCAAAAGCTGAGTGGGCTGACAAGTGAGAGCTATTAATGTCAAATCTGTCACTGAAGGGAGGACTAATTGCACAGTTGCAGCTGCAAAGTTTGCACTTCTTGCCCACACAGGCCCTGTAACAGAGGGACCTATTAACTGTGGGATAGAATGGAGTTTGGACTTGCCCAGACCATATCTTAGGTACTTAAATGGCCTTCATCACCCTAATGTCTGAGCATCTTACAGTCTTGTAATGTATATATCCTCACAAGACCCGTTTGAGGGAGGGAACTATGTGATCCTCATTTTAGAGATGGGAAACTGAGCCACAGAGCGACTATCTGATTTGCCCCAGGAATCTTGGGTTTCCAAAGTCCTAGGCTAGCACCTTATCCACAACCATCCTTCCTCTACACTGCTTGTGCACCACTGTAAACATTTTAATATATGAACAGAAGGTGTGTTACAGGCATTTGAAAGGGGGTCAAAATGACAGGACATTGTAAAGCTAAATCCTGAAGTACTTACATAGTTTTCCATAGGAGTTTGCCTCAGTAAGGACTGAGTAAATGAACCTCAGGATCTGGACCACTCTGCAGAAATTTGAACTACTCTGCCTGCCTGCTCAGAGAAGGTCCAAATGACAGTGTTAAAAATGCTGGCAGCTGAGGGAGCCTTGTCTCCTTGTCTGCACTAGCACTTCCCCCATTGCTACTACTTCTGGAGCTACATCAATGCTAGCAATAGTGTGTATGTTTTGTCATAAAACTGTAAAGTACAAAGCATCATAGAAGAGGATTAAAATTCCTTTTGTCTGTTTTCTAGGCTGAATATTATGCATGTCAGGGCAGAGTGCATATCGTGAGTCATAGAAAACACAGCAAACCTGTTTTGATTAGACTCTGCCTACGTTACAATAGAAATCATGCTAGCAACAACTAAATATGGTTGTTGCTAGCATGGTTTCCATGACTATTCTAAACAAGGGCCTTTTCCAGTTACCCACATAATAAAACAATGTTAATATTTTTGGGCTCCCAGCTAGACAAACCTTTACTTCCTGATAAGAAGTCATTTTAAAACAGGGGTTTTGGTACTGGTTTCTGCTACTGTGGCTGTGCTGGGTGGCGTGTCTGGAGCACAGGTTTGTTAAAACTGCTTTTTTTAAAAAAAAGTCTCTAGACTAGATCATTACTTTACAAACCTACTTTTTAATTAAAATTCTGTTCACGTCACACTGGCCAGCACAACTGAATTAGCAGAAGCCATTATTAACCCCCCCGCCCCTCCGGACCAGATCCTGATGTCCAGCTGAATTGCACACCACTGATTTGAAGCTGTGGGTGTGCAAATGTGGTGTAAAGCTTACCTTTGGATTCCCCAAGTCCTGTAGCTGCTGTGTGCCCTGCCATATGTGAGAACAGTCTTAGACCTGATTTTCAGAGGTGCTGAGCACCCACATCTCCTGATGTGGAGATACAAATACTCAATGCTTCTGGAAGTCAGGCACAAGGTATCTCACGCTGGGCATCCAAAAATAGAGGCACCCAAAATCAGTAAATTTTGGCCTAAATATCCTCTACCTGGCAAATCCTTTCTTCCCCCAAAATTGTCCACTGGTAAAGAATGTAAACTAACTGTATGCATCCGATGAAGTGAGCTGTAGCTCAGGAAAGCTTATGCTCAAATAAATTGGTTAGTCTCTAAGGTGCCACAAGTACTCCTTTTCTTTTTGCGAATACAGACTAACACGGCTGTTACTCTAAAACCTGTAGTAGCATCGTGTGTCATGAATGCAATGTCGTGCACTATACATATAAAGTAAACAGAGGGGCAGCAAATAAGATATTTTCACATTCTCAGCAAGTGCGTATCTTTCCTTTGTTACCACTGAAGGCCAAATCAAGCAATCAGTGGGAGTCTGCCTGAGTAAGATTTAACTAAGAGCTAAATCCTGACAGCCTTACTCTTTTCTATGTTTCAGAGTAGCAGCTGTGTTAGTCTGTATCCACAAAAAGAAAAGGAGTACTTGTGGCACCTTAGACACTAACCAATTTATTTGAGCATAAGCTTTTGTGAGCTATGCTCAAACTGGTTAGTCTCTAAGGCGCCACAAGTACTCCTTTTCTTTTCTATGTGTTTAGCTGGTTAGTACGGGTTAATTAGAAGCAGTTACTGCAAACAAAATAAATGACACAAATTAGAACTGTATCCCACCTCCAATGACTTATCAACCTTGTGATCGCCATTGGAATTAGATCAGCAGTTCTCAACCTGTGCATAGTGACCACCCAAGAGGAGTACCAGCAGATGTCTCAAGGACTATGGAAATGGGCGGAGATGCCAGAAATACCTATGAACCACTACGTTTATCATGGACCTCCAACTAAGTGCAGTGAGAAATAATGCAAAGGATTCTGGGGCATATGGGGAATATATTGTGAATTGTTGTATACAGCTTTGCCATCTGGAAATGAGTGAGAAATCATAGTATGATTGAGAGACCCCCAATAAATTTGCTTGCTAACGCCTGATATGTTGCATAGCTCAAAGCCTGAACTGCTCTCAATTGCTAACTCCACTAAAGGAAATCTCAGAATGGTTGATAAAGCAGCAGTGGATGAAGCAAAGCAAATACAAACAGGTACTACAGGGTACATCTTGTCTCTCTGATATCAGAGTAGTGCAAGAAACAGACAAAGAAAATTAGGAAACACTGTAATGGAAAGAATAAAGATATTTTTCAGACCATTGGAGGTAGCAGTCTGTAAGAACAATCCTCAATTTACATGCATGGCTATTTTCAGTTTTGAAACATTTCCTATTCCTTGCTAATTTCTATTCAGAAGTTGATATATAAAAATCACCAACACAAAGAAATCAAATGTAATTACAATCATAAAAAACAAAAAGGAAAAATACAGCAGGAAAATGTTCTTAAAAACACCAATTAGGCAATAAAATGTCTTCAGCATAGGCCATTTAGTTAGCATCTGTGAATGCTTTTGTGTTCTGCAGCTGGGAACAGCACCAGTTCCTGAAATCTCTTTAGCTAGCAAAGCCACAATTTGAACAGATTATTTCCAGTGTGCAGAAAAATTCCGTTGACAGTTATTTAAAAGTTTAACTAGAATAAAGGACGTGAGCAGAAAAATTAGATCATTAGATCACAAAATTTACTGAGTACTTTTAAAAGATTTTCTTCATTTTTGCAGCATAACAAAGGATATGCTCTAGTCTTCCTGGATCAATAAATCAATATGAAAACTTTTAAATCCAGAAATAAATAGAGCTTGAGCTAGTAACAAACATCTCCCAGCTCCTTCGGTTATGAGAGAATATGTATATATCAGCCATTTATCTCTGGGTCCCCCTCAAAATCTGCAGGGGCTTACCCTAACTTACCTCAGCCACAAACCTAACATGAAGAGTTGAGGTTATAGGGGAGAAGAAAGTAGTAGCATAACTTGCTGTTCTTACGTTTCAGGGTTTTCTACTTATAGGGACCTCACTGCAGATTACATGGCTTTTGTACTAGTTACAAAGGAGAACTTGTACATGATGGCTGCAACAGTGCAAGTCCAATAAACTACGTGAGAACCAAGTTTTCTAAAGTTTAAGCGGTAAAAAATTGAGGCTTCCTTGTATTTTCTATTGAATTTTGCCTGGTTTCATTCCTGGTTGGAGAAATTTATCTCCCCTGGATTCTTTCAGAGACTTTCAGTTAGGGTTTAAGCTGCTAGTGTTACTCTGAAAGTCAGCCGAGTGCAGTCACCTGATCTGTCTCCTTTCTGATATTTTTTTCTTGTTTTAAGTTCCAGGACCGTGAGGCATTCAAGGCCCAATCCTAAAAGGGGATGAGAAGAGGTCTCAACACCTTGCAGGATTGGGAAGTCAGTGTCCAGGAGAAGGTTTTGTCCAAGAGAACCTCTTTTAATCATTTGGAGAATCCTCTGTATCACTGCCTTTATTTCGCCATTAAAATCTCCTCCCTCTCAGGCTCGGCCACCTAGCTACTGTCCTCCCATTCAAGAAGTAGTGAAGTTTATCAATAAACTTCTATTCTTCAGTGAGCTGGAGAGGATGTTGCTGTACCAGATAATCCTTTATTACATTGTGCTATATTTTCTCAGCTTCTGGAGAAACACACTAAAAAGGTGACCATTCTGGAGAAGTACTGAAATTACACAAGACAGACAGTCGAGTTAAGTCAATGGTAGTCTTCCCACAGATTTCAATGGGCATTGGATCAGGCCTCTAAGGTAGTAATTGTAATGGAGTTGGCAGCAGGAATACAGTGGTTTGACATCCTTGAAACAATGGCAATTCAAGCAGGATGCCTCAACTAGCCCTACTTGAACCAGCCACTGGTTTGACATTCCAAATAACTGGTATCAGAAATGAAAACATGTATAATGCAATCTCCATAACTGTGTGTTAAACAAGTGCTGCAAAATATCCCTCCTTTGTATGATACAACACAATTATATGTGACAGAAGAAATATAAAGCCTGAAGTGTATTGGTATCCATTACCTACTGGGGTGAGTAGAGTAAGGTAGCATTCAATCAACAACACAACACCAATGCCCTTAGTCAGCAAGGGGCCGTAGTGCTGAATAGCCACAGCCACACTGCATACCTTTATTCCAGGTGTCTAAAAGCTCCACAGGGTTATTACTGCTCTGGTGCAGTCAAGTTAATCGCAGATGACTGTATGGCCATTGCCAGTAGCCTTCAATCAATAGCAGTTGAATTAGAGATGGAAAAATATAACAGGCACTGTAATCTGCAGAGAGATTCATACAAAGATACATTTTTTCCTTCCACATCATGAACACTAACAGCAGCACCATATTCTGACTGTAACTCTGACTCAGATGGTTCTAATATTGTAGTTCTGTGGGAACATTCCTCTATTGTTAATCGCTGCAAAGGCAAAAAAAATGTACAAACAACTAAGCTGTAGTTGAACTCAAAAATAGATTCACTCTTCTTTTTGAACTACAGCTGACCTGTGAAAAAAAAAAAGCTGTGTCAACTGGAAAAATAGTATACTGCATACATTTTTTTCAAAAAACCCAAAATCTTATTGCAATATCCTTTCTGAACAAACCCCTTGCCTAAAACTAGCTATACAACATTAATTTAAAGGATTACATTTTCCAAATTTGTAAATTTAACATGCAACGTTAATGAAGTTTTTTGCCAGTACAAATCTGATCTCTGGTCCTTACTCCTTGGATGCAAGTACCTGGTGGCTAACACCAGATAAATTAGATTACACTCACGCGGAAGCCCTTGCATAAATTCTGCAAGACTAGTGCTAAAAATCCAATCACACCGATTGGGTAAAAGCATCTAAACGTGCAGAAAACCAGGTGGTACAACTTGACTCTTCTTAAGCAGTCCCCTAAACAGCCAGGTTGTGCTTCTAACGGGTCAAAACGTGCCACACCTCCGACACCTGTCAACGCTGGCGTCAGGTGAGCACGGCACACGTTTGAGGGGAGCCGCAGTCCCCAGGCGCTGGATATGGCTGCGTAACTGGGGCTCAGGCAGAGAACCAGGCGCACCGGGCGCGCAATGGTCAGAAGGGGCCGCAGCCCGGCCTGGGCCACGGCTTCCGGCTGGCGCCACACGTGAGACGCAGCCACTTGGCACGTGTCTGTCTCAGGCTCTGGGACGCTACCCGCCCCCCCCCACCCGCGCGCTTGGGATGGGCGGAGCTTCGCCTCTCACACCGCCCCCGGTAGGAGCGCGCCGCCCGCGCGCCAGAGCAAAGCCCCGCCCTGTGGAGCCCTGCCCCTAGTCCGTGTTCCTGAGACCCCGACGGAGCGCGCGTAACCCCCCTCCCCGAAGAAGGGAGCCGTGCTGGCCTCCGAGATGGCGGCCGTGGCAACGGCGTCCGGGCAGCAGCAGGTAAAGGCCCCGCCGGCAGCGCCGTTCCCGCCGGGCGGCGATGAGAGCGCGCCTCGGGGCAGTGACTTCGCTGCGGCTCATCCTTGTCAAAGGGATTCTGGGCTGTTCCCTGCTTCCCCCGGCGGGGAGAGAGCCCAGGGAGGGAGGCCGGCCCCGCTAACGCGGGGAGGCTCCGAACGGGCCCTGTGTCTGCCAGAGAAACGCTGCTGCGGCCCAGACCGTGTCCGGGGCTGCCCCTGGACCCCGCTCGCCCGCCGTAGCTGGGGCGCGTGCAGTCGTGGGGGTGGGGGGCGGCGCTGCGGTCACAGCAGTTACCGGACATTCTGTGACGTCAGGGAGCGCCTCCTGCCGTCCCGGCCCCTGCCCAGCTCGCGGCCGCCACAGTGACACCCCCTCCCCCATCCCCCCACCGTCCCCGCCCTGCGCCCCGGGGCGGGGGCCGCAGAGCGGCCGGCGAGTGGCGAAAATTGTCAGATGACCCCCCCCCCCCCCAAAAAATCCAGGCTTTCGCAGGTTTTGTGCTGGGACCGGAGCTGTGCCAGAACCCCTCCCCCCATCAGTGCTGCACCCCAAATCAGTCCGCACTTCTGCGCCTTTCCATTGCGCTTTCCCTCCAAAGTACCTGGCCCAGCTGAGGGCCTAAAGAAGAGCCCTGTGGGGCACTGGGAAGCTTGTCTCTCACCAACAGAAATCCGCCTGATAAAAGCTGTTGCCTCACCCACCCTGTCTCCAATATCCTGGGACCCACTTGGCTACAGCAACGCTGCATATAGCCAGTTCAATCTGCTCTGGAACTTTTCTGCCCTGTTACGTGATTGTCCTGTTGTTCATCACGCTGATATTACATGCCCCAGTGATAGGCTCTTTAGAAGTACCTAAGTCAGTGGTCCCCAAACTTTTAACAGTTGTGCCACCCCTTACTGCTGTGTGCCCCCCCCCCCCCCCCCCCCCGTGAGGCCAGGAGCAAAGCTGTAGCTTGGGGGGAGGGCAGACAGGAGTAAGGGGGCTACAGCTGGGAGCTGGGCTGGGGCCCAGAAGGGAGCCACAGCCAGGGCTGAGGCTGGGAGCAGAGTCAGGGGCAGGAAGGGGCCAAGGCCGGGGGGAGGAGGGGTGGAGGCTGGGAGCCACGGCTGGGGCAGAGCTGGGGCTGTTTGGCCTGGCTACCCTGAATGTTCCTTAGTGCCCCCCTAGGGAGAACATAAGAATGGCCATACTCGGTCAGACCAAAGGTCCATCCAGCCCAGTATCCTGTCTACTAACAGTGGCCAATACCAGGTGCTCCAGAGGGAGTGAACCTAACAGGTAATGATCAAGTGATCTCTCTCCTGCCATCCATCTCCACCTTCTGACAAACAGAGGCTAGGGACACCTTTCCTTACCCATCCTCGCTAATAGCCATTAATGGACTTAACCTCCATGAATTTATCCAGTTCTCTTTTAAACCCTGTTATAGTCCTAGCCTTCACAACCTCCTCAGGCAAGGAGTTCCACAGGTTGACTGTGCGCTGAGTGAAGAAGAACTTCCTTTTATTTGTTTTAAACCTGCTACCCATCAATTTCATTTGGTGGCCCCTAGTTCTTATATTATGGGAACAAGTAAATAACTTTTCCTTATTCACTTTCTCCACACCACTCATGATTTTATATACCTCTCTCATATCCCCCCTTAGTCTCCTCTTTTCCAAGCTGAAAAGTCCTAGCCTATTTAGTCTCTCCTCTCATGGGACCCGTTCCAAACCCCTAATCATTTTAGTTGCCCTTTTCTGAACGTTTTCTTATGCCAGTATATCTTTTTTGAGATGAGGGGACCACATCTGTACACAGTATTCAAGATGTGGGCGTACCATGGATTTATATAAGGGCAATAAGATATTCTCTGTCTTATTCTCTATCCCTTTTTTAATGATTCCTAACATCCTGTTTGCTTTTTTGACTACCGCTGCACACTGCATGGATGTCTTCAGAGAGGCGGCCTCCACGCTGATCTAAGTTGTATTTAGTCTTGTAGCAGTGTTAGTCCCAGGATATTAGAAGACAAGGTGACAATATCTATTATTGGACCAACTTCTGTGTTTGGCCCAATAGAAGATATTACTTCACCCACCTCATCTCGAGAAGTTCCTAAAGTATGTGATTGAAGGTTAGTTCTTGGTTTCATCTTGTGTTCTGCAGGGTTTTTCCGGTACGATGTCCTGTGTTGTTGGCTTCCAACTGATAATCCTAACTCTGTATCTCCACTCCAGCATTTGGATAATATAATGTAACTGACAGAACTGCAGGATTCCCACAGGTGTCATGTAGGTTTTTAACTCTACAGAGATCAGAATCTCAGTGGTTGCTGAGTGACTGACTGTGGCATGATGAATAAAAGTCAAGCTGGGTTCTTCCACTGCATGATCACAGTAATAAGAGTACTGCTGACTAAATTATGCCACCTGGGACTCCAATACCATCTCATGGTCTTCCAAACTGATCAAATTTGATATGCAATCACGGAGGCATAATAAACATGGTACTCCATGATGTCATTTTTTATAGTTTCTGAAGAGTGACCTCTTTAAATATATCATGGACATGGCAAACTTCAGTTCAAAGTGCTTAAAAAACAAAGCTGCAATCTAAGTAGACATAGAAAATGCTTCGTTTAAAAATCCAGTTATGACATAGTTTGCCCTTGTATATGCTGGCTGGCCAAACCCTTTTATAATCCACTTTGATTACAGAGTGTAAACTTTTTGCTTGAGCATGGGTGCTTTAAATAAACATGGTTAGATAATGATCAAGGAGCTGAATTTATTTTAACTTTTGTTTGTCTTCAGCTTGTGATGATGCATTAGCATTCCATGCCGAAGTTCATCTCAGCATGTAATGTTTTTGTTGATATTTATTTTTATAGTATCAACAATTCATTAAGCACTTTACAGATCGATATAAGGATAGCATTCCTCCTCCAAGGCACACTCTAAATAGAGAAAATATTGGTGAAGGAAATAGGGGATGAAAGATTGCAAGCAGATCAAAGCCAGTAAGCAGTCTGTTTAGTACACACCTTATTATTTCCATTTTTTTCCAGTTTGTATTTGTCCAGTAGAAAAAAATGTGGCAACCCTAATACACAGAATGCGGGGCATTTCTACTAATGTGATGCTAGTTCAGATGCTCCAATAAATAACTCTTTAGCTGGAGTAGTCAGATTAATTCAACTGTGCAGCAGAGGAGACATTTATTCTCTATATGGCTTAATAAGCTCCCAGCCAAATAGTCAAGTTTTCTTCCAGTTGCAGTGGTCATGGGGGTTCGATTCTCCTCACCCTCCCATTGAGAAGTCATTAACTTTTAAGGATGACTTTTCCTGTAGAGAACTCCTAATGCTTGTTAACCTGTTACACTGTGCTGATTTTAGGTAGGCTTAGTCTAAGGGGGGAAAATGCTTATTCAGTCACTGATCTTGGAATACTACTGAACCTGCCTATGTAAGAGCTAAGGGCCCTTATCTTTACAGCCATTACTCAAATTTAGGTATCGCTTTGTCAGGTTGTCTATTAACTTAAATGGGATTACCCACATCAATGTTTCTCAACATTCTTATTTATTAGTATTGCACTAGCGCCTAGGAGCCCCAGTCATGGGCCAAGACCCTATTGTGCTAGGTACAAACAGAGAACAAAGATAGTCCCCTCCCCAAAGAGTTTACAATCTAAGTATAAAACAAGAGACAACAAGTGAAACAGATGGGTAGGGGGCACCAAGAAACAATGAGACAATGCTGGCCAGCATGATAGACAGTGGTCTTAGCACATCAGCAGCCTAACTGTTGTCAACCTTTTTGTAGGCCGTGAGTGAGGATTGCAAAACTGCACACTAAATTACTAGTAGCTATGATATCAAGAATATCCAGGGTTTTAAAAAAAAAAAATTTGGATGGGCTGTTAAACCTCATGCCTCGGGATTTAAGCCAATCCCCAATGATTGGAGGGATAAGACCAGGAAGAGACCGGGGGGAGGGTTATTCCACATTTGTGTACTGTGAGATTCTTGCATTTTCCTCTGAAGCATCTGGTACTGGTCACTGTCAGAGAGGATACTAGATGGACCCTGGGTCTGATCCAGAGTGGCAGTTCCTATTACAGACAACTACTGTTTAATTGTAGTGATATAACATTGTATTATTGTTCTTTTTAAGAGCATATTACAGATACAATTCCCAATTCACCACTGCATTACATCAGCTTTACACTGGTGTAATTCCACTAAAATCAGTTGAGTTACACAACTGAACAGTTGAGTTCAGTGTAAAACTGAAGTAACACAGTAGTAAATCACGTCCACAGTATGTGTTTGTCTTTTAGCTACCGTGTTACTGATAATGAATAATTGTTTAAAGATACAAGACTAATTTCTCTTAATAAAGAATGCCTTCTTTTGTGTTCTGTACAGAGTGACTGCTCTTTCAGTACTCTAGATTCCGGTCAACACTTTCAGTTTCAGAACTGGATGATTAAAGCTGATCAAACTAAGAAAGCTGAATTCATAAGAACAGCAGAAAAACTAAAAAATCAGTAAGTTAAAGAATATAACCATAAACACATTCTGCATGGTATTGCTCTGGGTGACAGCTTTTGAGGTGATTTAAGATTAGTACTTGTGACTATCAGCAGGGGTTACAGAACTCTGAGCTGCTGTGTTAACCCTCTCAGCCTCAGCAAGTGAGAGCTTTGCTGCTGCTAAGCTGTGTGTCAAGTT